GAGGAAGTGTCTGGAGAGAGGGAAGTCTGGGCATCTTTGCTTAGACTGCTGCCCCCACGACCCGGTCCCGGATAAGCGGAGGAAAATGGATGGATGGAAAGTTATGTCAAGAAAAGTGATTCAGAGGAACGAGAACGAAAGTGAATAGAAAGAGCGAGTCTAACTGCTGTCTCCTTGGCTTTCCTGATCAGCTCATCTTCTTACTTAATGAGGCACGGAAATGCTAATCTGGAGCTTAAAAGGCCTTTAACTTGCTGTAATTTACCAGCATTAACGCCATCACAAGCTGGATAATCTTAGCTCTTACACATCCGGAGTGTGTTTACACTGCAGAGTTTCATCTGTTGCCTAGGGCTTTTGATTTAAAGATTACTCTGAAATATGAGATATCAAAGTCAACAGTCCCTTCTTGACAAATCCACATTTCGCTGCCTGAGGAGATGGAGGAATATTCCTTTCAAACATGTTGCAGTATGCTCATGATGCGGCATGTCCAGCAGGATGTTTCTGCTAAACAATGCAGCAAGAAAGCTTTCTAGCTATCAGACTGTCCTCTAGCACTTACCCCTCACAGTCAACCTGCTTCTCACTGCTTACAGGCGAGGAAGCAGACTCAATCAGCCTCCACACTCCGAAACCTCATTTACATATAAAAACATAGCTCAGAAGAAGCCACTGGGTGGGCAAAATCAATTAACACTAATTAGTGACTAATGTGGAATGAAATTAATCCACACAAAGAAGTTGGGTTCAGCTGAAGCTGCTAGGTTTAGTGCAAAACCACAGAACCCACAAAGACTACAGACTCATGAACGAGCACACACACTAAGGGGTCACAAACAGTTTGCAGAGGTGAAAGGTCACTCTGGTAATGTGTCTTTATGAGTTTGTGTGTGGGTTGCTGGTGCGACGCTTAGGGGAACTCACCTGTCTGCAAAATCTTAGCTGTGTCACGAACAGCCACAGAAACCATGGCAAAGTGTCTGTAGAGTGGGTAGCACAAAACCCTCCGTCCAAATGACACCAGGACCTCTTGCAAAGAGCTGTATGTCTGCAAAAACAAAGGACAGGACACTCAGAAAGCTCTTCACCACAAAATACACCATGTTTTTTTCTTCAAGAAGACAAATAAATGAAGAAAACAGAAAGAAAAGGCTTGGTTCAGCCAGATATTTTGACCCAGGGGTTTTCCACTCGCTCTTTTTCTTAGGTTTGAGTCTGGCTCCCATTGGTGTACACTGCATTGATGCTCTAATTACTCCACACAACTTCTAATTTATAGAGCTGACAAAATAGGGCTTACAACTCTTAAACACCTCTGCAGCCCTGGCCTGTTAATTGCCGTTTCTCTTTAATCGCTGCCTTCACTCTGATTTTTTTCTGCACTAATGGACACACAGCCTGGAGACAGAAACAGCAGTTTTTATGCCGTGTTGCTTTTTTCTTCTTTTCTTTGAAGCTTGTTAAAGACGTGTTGTGAGCTTGCAACTGCATGTCAACGGGAATCACGCTCTCCCTTGGGCTTGTTTAGCAGGACTGTAAATAAGGTCTGCTGCTGCTGGGAGGGGAACTCACAGTCACACCAGTGCAGTCGACTGAGGACAAGTAAACATACAGCAGATGGAGGAGGAAGGGAGAGGGGGTGGGATAAGGTGGCAGGGGAAAGGAGAATGTTAGGCATAAGCGAGGCAAGAGAGACAGACAGTATGAGAGCATAAAGAAGAGATAGTACAGAGAGAGGATGGAGTGAGGAAGCAGAGTTGATATCAGCAGTGACACAGACAGACAGACACTCAAAGACGAAGAAATTCAGTGTAGAGCAGAAGGCGAAGGATAGAAGAAGAGGAGGAGGAGGCAGGGAGCAGGGGATTGAGCGAGGTGGCCTGTCAATAGGAGGTGACAGCTCTGGCTGGCTGACTGACGAGCAGTAAAGGGCTGCCAGGCAGGTGGAGACTGTTCTTTACTCCATACAGTAGAAAAACGACTCCTTCTCAAACTGCAGTCAAGGTCTATGAAAGTAAACTTCTCCAAGCTGCTGCTTCACTGGATTGTTTACAGTGACTTCAGCAAATATTCAGACTCCCTTACACTTTTTACCACACACTTTACTGCGTTGTAGATTTAATTTTAAATGGCTAAAACTACCATTTGGCCCCACTTTCCTCACTGAGCAACCCACAGTGACAAAGTGAAAACACATTTTTAGAACTCATTATTAAAAGTCAAACCTGAAATCTTATTTGCAAACAGTTTCAGAGCCTTTGTGCTGTAAAAATGAATTCATTTTCCCATAGATGATATCATACATGACTTCTACCATATGTGTTGGATCAGCATGAAACTCTCCTGTTTAAAACAACAGTACAAAAGATTAGGAACTGCTGCATTAGAAAATATCTGATTCTTTTAATTAACTAACTAAATAAATAAATAAGTGTGTGTACATAAAAACTTAGATGTAGATGTTAATCACTACTGTCAAGATTTCGGTTTTAAAAAAAAGTCTCCTTACTGCTTATAAAATAAAAACCGGATAAAACAGGATTTCTCACAAGTAAAGATGAAATCATTAAAACTGGTGGCCATGATATAAATCTATAGGAGCATTATACATCTGGGAGAGTCCTGTGCGTTTTTGCTAATTAGCATGAAGGCTTTGTGTAACCCACCTGATGTTGTGGTTATTGAAAAACAAAAAACAAAAAGAAAACTGATACATAGAGGTAACTTTATTGTGAAGGGTTGTGCATTTTCCACTGTCATATGGGAAAAGAAATAAGTAGAAGATTGATAAGTAACAAAACCAATCAGGAACTGTCAGGGTCAGGTGAGATACGCCTCACAAGTTCCGCCCTTGGGTAGAGTCAGGGGTGTGGCAGAACAGAAAAACGGAGTATGGACAGAGATTAAAAGAGCTACATGTTTTGGGAGTTTACCTGGGTAGTGTGAGCAGAAAAGGCCAAAGACACTTTAATATTAGGGCTGACGCCATTAGCTCCTGTCCGGGCCAGCAGTGAATTGGGGAATTCTACCTCGTTAATGAGCGAGGAGAAGAAGGTAAAACTTTATGGTTACACCTATTTATTTTGTTGAATTTTATGAGAAATTAAATTGAGTGTTATGTTAAAACCATGCCATTGTGTGTTGAAGAGATAAGACTGCTGCGTTGTGTGTGCGCCATTCTGAGCAGACATTACCGTATGCTCGTATTAATACAAGGAGATTGGTGAGCCATACGTTTTGTTTATGTATATATATATATATGAATATTCACTTGTGATTAATATACGCTGGAAATGTGAATATGTTTAAGTATGTAGGTAAATTCATAATGTTATACTTAGCATTATAAAAATATAGTGTTAAATACTGGAAGTTGAATGCATTGAGATACTAAAGGCCTTTTCACACCGAACGAAAAAGCGAAAAAAACGCAGGCGAATTTAACGCACCAAAAGTATTCACACCGAACGCGACGCGAATAAGCGATATTTTCTTAAAACGTCGCGCTACATAGATGGACTCCACATCAAGCGACGACGATGTACTGCTTGTCCTGCTACATAAAAAA